AAAAAAAAAAAACACACACACATGCACACATGCAACTTTGGTTGGTGTAAAGTGGTGAAGGTGAGAGGAGAATATTAAAATGGGTCACAGATAAATAGGCTGTTAACTTTGGAATATTTCATTTTCACTCGCTGACTTTTGTTTTGTTATTTTTGGCCAGATATGTGTTTTTGACATGAACCTCACCTTTCTGATCTCCCTTTGTCTTTGTCATGGCATGTGCAGTTTAGAGCCAGGATAGTTAGTACAGTGATGGGCCGTGGGGTGGACCACCGAGGAATTGGTTTTCAATTCCTGGCAGGTGCAAGAGATTTTTATCTTCTCCACAGTGTCTAGACCGGCTCTGGAGTCCGTGGGGCTTCCTATCTGATGGGTACCATGGGCTCTTTTCCTGGAGGAAAGTGGCCAGGGCATGAAGCCGACCACTCATCTCTATCTAGTGTCAAGGTCAAGAATATGTGTATCTATACATCCTTTCCCCCAAACATCTTCATGGCGTAGTGCTTAATTAATTAAGCACAGGGATAACTGTACCTTTTGTATGTGTAGTTTAATGCTTGTCACTCTGTTATGCATGCAGTTGTAGCGGAGGATTTTACATGACATTGAAGTTTAATGTCAGGAATTAGAGGTGCTCAAAATTTCTGTTTCATTAGACAATCAGAGAAAGCTGATTTTGTTGAATTGATCACAGATGTGTTCTAAGCTAATATCTTTCTCTTTGTAGGTTAAGTAATTGAAGCGTGAAACTGGTTACTCATCTTGGTGTAGTACATGCAAAGCTTTACCTCTCTGTCCCCCATGTCACTTGGTGTCATGATATCCTGGCACAAGGGCAGCCATACTTTTTACCTTCTTATGTTTATGAATGAATGAATGTATATGGGATGGGCCTTCTCGGCCCTTGCACCACGACCTACAGTGATCTATCGTGCTTCCCTTTTTACCTCTTTATGTTTAATTTAAAGAATCTTATGCCTCATTTTTTCTTTTCACCTATCATACAACTTTAAAGCATGCAGCTCCTAGGGAAGCAGTGAAAGAATAATTTGTTGTCTGAGCATTCAGAATTGCACTAAGAGCAAGTGTTTTTGGTACGTTTTCTTTTGTAAGTGCTAAAGTGGAACATTAATTATTTCAGGAGAATGAGCAGGAGTCAAGTTCCGCAGGACTGTCATGGGTGCAACCTGGCTCTTTGGAGCCCTTCTCCAAGCCCACCTCTTGATACTTTTTCACTATAGATGTAAGAATGACACTTCAAGTCATCATCTGTTCTGTATTGCTTCAGCATCTGAAATGCAGTGTGATGTCTGTTGAATATAGGAGGTGATCTAGATCCAGAGTGCAGAGGAGGAAGATATATTAATATAATTAATTAAAAAGAAAACTTTTGAAATTATGGAAATCTTCTGGGTTTCACAGTGTTGTTTTTCATCTTGTGATGACACAGCAGGGTGGTGCTCTGCACCGATACTGGCAGTCTCCATCTCTGGATAAAATGATAAATCAGAGACCTAGTCTGCATATGTATTGTATCAGTGAATATTCCAAAGTTCTCATTGGAGGGTTTGCAATAATTGTTACTAATGAGGTGTAACAACTGGAATTAAATTCCTGTGTTAGAGCCACTACACTTATCTAAGAGTGAGGTGTTTGTGTGTGAAGCATTTGACAGTGAGGTTGTACTGAAACTTCAGCAGGAGAGAAAATTACCAGCTTGAGCCAACATGGAAGTTACTACTGTAGAAAACGAAATGTCACATTCTTACTAGCAGCAGATAGGCCCCTGACATGTCACACACAACTTTGCAGATAAATAGAATTATTCTTAAATGGAAATTGTATTACACTTTTTGACTTGTGTTGGTCAGTGCATGTATTCAGATTGATTAATCATAGCTTTATGCTAGTTGGGTCTTGTTGCCATGAAGGGGGTAAGGTGATATCTCTGAAATGTTGACTGTCTTGCCACAGAACAACACTGACAATAGAAAGTTACAGCAGAAGTCTTAAAGCTACATTGCATTACCCGTAGCTGTATGAAACTTAAGTTTTCATGTTTTTCTAAGTCATGTAGAATAATATTAACATCGTAAGATTTGAGGCTTTCACGGCGGTGACTATGAAGAAAGCAGTCTTCTGGGATTTGGCACCGTGTATATGTGGTGTTAACCAACGTTTCGGAGGAACGTATCGCCCCCATCTTCAGGGTTGAAGAAGTATAGGTAAATCTGCAAGCGACAACACCGTGAGACACGGTCAANATCGATTCCAATCAGCTACCATTGTTTGTACATTAAAAAGTTATAGTATTCCCAAAGAATTATGAAACAAATATGCAGTAAAATCTTTTTATAACATTATAGGAATTAGGCACTTTTGAAAATGAGATGTATTTTTATCAGTTTTGTAGTATCTATGTAAATAATGTAAAAAAAAAGGCATTTGCCATTATGTTAATTACTATTCAAACACTGAAAGTGAACAAGTTATAACGGTTCCTACTTCAGAAGAATATTTCTTCTTGCCAGGTATCTGGATGCTATAAAGATCCAACAACTGTAATTGGAGACATATTAGAAAACTTTTCTTATTGTTTTCTCTCTTCCATCATGAAATAAATAGTTTAAGCACAAAACATTTGAGGTCCTTGTAATCAGTCTTGTCCTGAGAGGAATGTTTCTAGACTGAGGATATCAGGATCATTTTCAGTTGGATGGTATTTAATGTCAAGTAAATTTATCAGAGTATGCCATGTTTCTCTCATTCCTAAGTGTAAATTAATAACATTTTTGAGATATATATTCTGAGTGACAGTATTCTGATTTATTTGGGCTGTTTACAACTTTGTCTTGTACAAAAAAATACTAGGAGGGTATGAATGAATGAATGTATAAGGGGTGGGCCTTCTTGGCCCTTGCACCACGACCACAGTGGTCTATTGTGCCTAACCATGAGGCTAAGTCAATAAGTAAGTTACAAATGGATATAGAACTTAAACTGATTTGGAAAAATGCTTTTATTTCTCAGCATAATCTTACTGTACATTGAGGCACTTGCCCCATCATTTCACAAGCCCCTGAAAACCAGCAGCATAAAATTTTTTTGGCTGCTGTCAGAACCAGGCAGTGACTTCCCTTTCTACAGCTTCATTGTCGGGAACATGTTCAGCCAAAAGATGATGTTTAAGAGGGCCGAAGAAATGGAAGTCACTTGGAGCAAGGTCGGGGCTATGCGGAGGATGCTCGAGGACTTCCCACTTGAAATTTTGCAGCATCTCATTTGTCTTGTTGGCAGTATGGGGACGCGCGTTGTCATGCAAGAGCAACACGCCTTTGGTGAGGAGTCCTGGTTGCTTCCATTGAATGGCCTTACGAAGTTTCCTGAGGATGTTACAGAAGGAGTCTGCATTTATGGTTTGTCCTTGAGGCTGGAATGCAGTGAGCAGTAGCCTTTGTGATCCCAGTCACCGCCTGGTTCTGACAGAAGCCCATAGAATTTTATGCTGCTGGTTTTCAGGGGCTTGTGAAACGATGGGACAAGTGCCTTAATGTACAGGGAGATTATGTTGAGAAATAAAAGCTTTTTTCAAATCAGTAGTCTTATTTGTTTAAGTTCCATATCCATTTGTAACTTACTTATTGACTTACCTACGTATTATCTGATTGAACTCTGTGGAAGCCCCTTTTGCCTTAAATGGTCATCCATAACTGATCCAATTGTAATGCATTGTTTATGTATCCAATGAATTGTTAGCTGGGCCAGAGGAGCCTTTTACAAAATTGTCTTTGAGTTCTACCCGGGATGCTGGTTTTTAATAACTCCATGATGGAACCATCATTGAACTTTTACATTCATATTAAAGTGGCATTGTCATTGTGGTTTGATCAGAGTTAGTTTCAAGGTTCAGATTTTATCATAAAAGTCAATGTCAGAATTAAATTATGATAAAGTTATTGTAGGTTATACCTTTCCATTTTACCTTTTTTTCTTCTCTAGAGTTGTCTCATTTGTTTCATATATATAATGACCATTAATATCTTCAGGTGTCCTATCCTTCATGTTTTGTGTTGATTTATATTATAGTGTCCAAATTTATTCTCTTATTTCCCCATAATACATTCATGAAACTTTCTGTGGTTTTTCCAAATGTTCCATGGTTGGTGTTTTTAGTGTGAATTATTACACAGATGCCATTGAAAGAACTGTAATGGACTGTAAGTGGATGTAAGAGAGAAATTCAAGGAAAATAGATACAGAAACTCCTTGCCAACTGTGGGGGTTATGAGAAGTGACCACTCACTGAAGTCTTAAATTGGCTGTTCTTACACAAAATACAGGTGTCAGGAAAAGATGCTGCAGTCTTAATATGAAAGCTACAAATCTGGTTTCATCTGCTATTATACTCTTCACTGCCATCAAATATGGATTTCTTGGTGTGAAAGTCACAAATGATTTCTGTGTTTAAAGCTGCAGATAGGTTGTGTAAGATGAAATATTATGCATGACAAAGCTGAATGTGAATGGAAAGTCACGTTTGGTGGGGAATTGCTGTAGTTTCATGTGTGAATTTGTTTATTCTAATTTTTCAAAGGAAGAGTTGTAGAGTGAAGAGGTTTAGGAACAATTGTCCACAACATTTTCCCCTCATTCTACTTGCCTTTTAAATGAATATATACTTGGAATGTGTCTAAACATGATTCAAGTATCTACAGCTCTTGCTTTTCTCTAGTCATATCTGATGCTATTGTTACAGTTTGGTTGAATTATGTTCATTTTCTGCTGGAGTTAAGTTTTTCCACTTGTAAGAAAGCTTACTGTATTCACTTTATTATGTTTTCATTGTTATATTATTATTGTTACTATAATTTATTTTATTATTATAAGTGATACAGTACTGATGGTTTTCATGTTAGTCGCTGCTGGCCTTCGTGGTGCTCAGCCCCCTCAAGTCAGTACACCAAGAAAAACTTCATAATCCAAAAGAATGCCACATCCTGACAAATGCTTTTAATGTCTGGAACTTGTACAAAAGATGTCTACAGGACTGTTACTCAGTGTTTGGATATGGTTTGCTATGTGACTTATTTTTAGTAATGAGTTCCTACTACAATCTTTTTGTTTCCTAGTATGCTGTCTTACAAACACAAATTGATTGGGAGGTGTAAAGCCTGCTATGTTGCTTGTATCCAGATAACTGTTTGAATGAATATGGGCCATGATTATTCTGTTATAAAAATAACTTTCTATGAACTGGACAGCTGGGGTTAAAATCTTGATCAGGGAATTGAAATATTACCCTTGTCCAGGGTGTTTCTGGGGGCTCACCCAGCCACTCATGGAGTTCTGAGTGCTGTTTTCCTGGGGTGTAAGAACCTTATACTCTACAAAGAGCAGTTATTAATGACAAGTCATGCAAATCACCACTTTCACCCAATCAAACAAAGACCATATATCCCAACTGGGGCTATTGAAGCCCTAGTAACAGTAACTGAATTAAATGATTTCTCATTTCACTCTAATGTAGATGCGGAGTTTACCCCCATACCCCATGTATGGGTATGTCTTCATGATTTGCTGCTTAGATGCTGAACAGCCTCTACCTTATAGCTTGGGCTTTGCTGTAGTGCAGTGTCTGGGTATGTTATGAAGAGGTTCTTCAAAAAGCAATAAAATGTTATCTCAGTACAGGACACAAAGTTTCATTTTAAAGTGAGATTACAGTATAGTCTAAAACAACTACAGAATATAAACGTGAAATGTGTATTTGTACTATGTAAGATTTGAGGTTTTCACAGCAGTGACTATGAAGAAGCAGTTTTCTGGGATGTGGCACCATGTAGATGTGGTGTTAACCGACGTTTCGGACAAACGTATCGCCTCCATCTTCAGGGTAGAAAGAAAAATAAAATCTGCAAGCGAAGAGACAGTGAGAACCGGTGCAAGCAGACTGGACTGATGTTGGAAAGAAACTCAGCTATGTGAGAGCAGGGAAGGGAGGCGGGGACAAGTCTACATGGGAAATCAGTAGAGAGGGAGAAGAAGGGTTTGTATAGGATATTGTGTCAGGGGAGAGAAAGGCAAGGTTAATGGGAGGGCATTAACCCTTAAG